TCTTTTCATTCCTTTTCTATAGTCATTTGCACAGGTTTAGACTATCTTCATTCATTTTTGAATGAATCTAGGTCATGGAGACAGTCTCCTCCACAAAATATACTCCTGCTAGATCACTCAGATCATCCAACTGCAATTTGAAGATTTGCTGGTGCCTGAATCTGAAAGTTGCAAACTTTTATTTAAATATGCTTAAGTCATTCAAAATACTAGTGATACTTACTTACTATAGTTATTGATACTTACTTAATGTTTTATTTATGTTTTTGAATGAAGTCTTGTATGCTCACCAATGCTGTTTATTTTATGAAAAAAAAAAAATCAGTAAAACCAGAAATATTGGGAAATGCTACTACAATTTAAAGTAACAATACTTTAAAATTTAATGTATTCCTGTGATGGCAAAGCTTGATTTTTAGAAGCCATTGCTCCAGTCTTCAGTGTCACATGATAATTCAGAAATCATTCTAATATGATGTGGTTCTCAAGGAACATTTCTTGGTATATCAATGCTAAAAAAAGTTGTGGTGCTTAATATTTTGTGGTTATAAAGTTGAAAAGAACAGCATTTATTTTAAATAAATATTTTGAAACAACATTAAAGATTTGCTTGCTTTTCACAGTATTTTACATCTGCCCCTTTTGTGTGTGTGTTAGGTGGACAAGGACTTTATTCCCGGTCTGATGTATATCAGAGATAATGAGGCGTCTGCAGAGGAGTTTGAAGCTATGCCTCTGCCCTTCACTGTGCCCAGTGCCTATGGACAGGAAGTCCAGCTCAGCTCCAAACATTCTCACATCAGCCTAGAGAACCGCAGTGAATATGTGCGGCTAGCAATAAATTACAGGTATGGATAATATGCTGAAAAAATGTTACCAACCAATTTTCGGGAATAAAAAGTGAATAAAATGAATTGATGAATAAAATGGATATGTTGTTGTTTTGTTTCTCCAGACTGCATGAGTTCGATGAGCAGGTGTCTGCAGTAAGGGAAGGTATGGCACGTGTGGTACCGGTGCCTCTGCTCTCTCTCTTTACTGGCTATGAGCTGGAGACCATGGTGAGTGTGTCATGAACGCAGACTGAGCAAATGTCATCATGAATTCTTATTTGACTACACATCACTTGTTTGTGTTGTTTAGGTGTGTGGCAGTCCGGACATCCCCCTGCACCTGCTCAAATCAGTGGCCACATATAAGGGGGTGGAACCAACTGCTCCACTCATCCAGTGGTTCTGGGAGGTGATGGAGTCTTTCTCCAACACAGAACGCTCGCTCTTCCTCAGGTTCGTCTGGGGTCGCACGCGCCTCCCCAGGACCATCGCAGACTTCCGTGGACGAGACTTTGTGGTGCAGGTAACTTGTGGCTCTGAAAAGTGTCACTTAAAAATTAACTTCTACTTAACCGCATATATACGTATATATACACTACCATTCTCAACAAGGCTGCATTTATTTGATCAAAAATATAGTAAAAACTGTAAAGCCGTAATGTTGGGAATTATTATACGAATTTAAAAATAACATAATTTGTGTGATGGCAAAGCTGAATTTTCAGCATCATTACTCCAGTCTTCAGTGTCACATGATCCTTCAGAAACCATTCTAATATGCTGATTTGTAGATCAAGAAACACGCTACTCCTGTAAGCTAGTCTTGGAGGAGAAACTAAAATACGCCATTCACTTCTGCAAGTCCATTGACACGGATGACTACGCACGAATTGCTTTGAGCGGTGAGCCGGCCGCAGATGACAGCAGCGACGACTCTGACAATGAGGATGCGGACTCCTTTGCTTCCGACTCCACGCAGGATTACCTGACAGGCCACTGAACACTTAACCCCTGGTTAAACTCCATCTCACAAACATGCACATGCACACAAAACACACACACCGACGTAGTGTAGGAAGTCTTGAAAATAAGCTGACAAAAAGAAGTTTAAATGAAAACTGAACCGAAGATGTCTGTTTTAACCTCACTTATTAATATGTGCATAGACACAAATACAACTAAATGAAGAGAAATAAGTGTATATCATTGTGCAATTAGCTTTAAAGCACTATTAAGCTGGTGAAAAGCAAGATAGAGATTTTTTTTTTAATCTTTGTTGTGAAGAAAACCAGGAAGACGGGAGAAACTACACATCTTTGTTAAACATTGTGTTCACGTTTTGTTACAGAGGACAGACCGCTTAGCCTAGCACTGTGGTAGACGACTCCTGACCTTCAGCATCATTACTCCAGTCTTCAGTGTCACATGATCCTTCAGAAACCATTCTAATATGCTGATTTGTAGATCAAGAAACATTTCATGTTATTATCAGAAACTGTAAAACATTATTTGAGTAGAAAGTTCAAAAGAACAGCATTTATTTAATTGTATTAGATTTTTTAAAATTGCATAATTATACTTGTTTTGAGCAATTCTGAATTTATATCATAATTCTGACTTTTTCTCATAATTGTCAGAATTGCACAATATAAACTCCGAATTGCAAGATATAAAATCTTGAGAAAAAAGATCAGAATTGTGAGAGATCACTATTACCTTTAAACTGAATTGCAAGATGTAAAAATGTCAGAATTATGAGATGTAAACTCTAAATTCTAAGAAAAAAGTCAGAATTCTTCTTTTTTTTCTCAGATTTGTGAGTTTATATTTTTGCAATTTCATATGTATACATTACAATTTTGAGAAACAGTCGTGAGATAAAAAGGTGCAATTATATATTTTTTATTCCATGGCAGAAACGAGCTTCTTTGTGTGTGTGTGTGTGTGTGTGTGTGTGTGTGTGTGTGTGTGTGTGTGTGTGTGAGTGTGTGTGTGTGAGTGTGTGTGTGTGAGTGTATGAATGTTAGATAAATTATATGTACAAATAAATATTAGTGCTCATTTTTAGAATATTTTTCCTATTTGACTAGGTGCTGGACAAATACAACCCCCCGGACCACTTCCTCCCAGAGTCCTACACCTGCTTCTTCCTGCTCAAACTGCCTCGCTACTCCTGTAAGCTAGTCTTGGAGGAGAAACTAAAATACGCCATTCACTTCTGCAAGTCCATTGACACGGATGACTACGCACGAATTGCTTTGAGCGGTGAGCCGGCCGCAGATGACAGCAGCGACGACTCTGACAATGAGGATGCGGACTCCTTTGCTTCCGACTCCACGCAGGATTACCTGACAGGCCACTGAACACTTAACCCCTGGTTAAACTCCATCTCACAAACATGCACATGCACACAAAACACACACACCGACGTAGTGTAGGAAGTCTTGAAAATAAGCTGACAAAAAGAAGTTTAAATGAAAACTGAACCGAAGATGTCTGTTTTAACCTCACTTATTAATATGTGCATAGACACAAATACAACTAAATGAAGAGAAATAAGTGTATATCATTGTGCAATTAGCTTTAAAGCACTATTAAGCTGGTGAAAAGCAAGATAGAGATTTTTTTTTAATCTTTGTTGTGAAGAGAACCAGGAAGACGGGAGAAACTACACATCTTTGTTAAACATTGTGTTCACGTTTTGTTACAGAGGACAGACCGCTTAGCCTAGCACTGTGGTAGACGACTCCTGACAGACTCCTGATCGATTTTGTGTTAAATAGGTAGTATTATGAACTGTAGCTTTGCCTTTTTATTTGAAAACAGCAGTGTTTCTTTAAGAGCCTTTTTAACTTTGAGCAGCACATTTTGTTTTCTCATTTGGTCAGTGGAAGCCTGGTCAGGGGTTGTTTTTAGGTCGTTGGTCACCATATTCTCTCCTCCTCCTATATGTGTCTGCACTGTTCTCCTAATGGAATGTATATAATTTGATTGTGCCATGTGTTTATGAGAGGTCTCATTCCCATGTTATAAATAAATGTTAATTTCTGTTAATAAATTTAAACCATATGTCTCTTGTAAGTTTTATTTTCTTGTTTTAACACCCCGTTTTCCTAAATTTCTTTTGAATTTATATCATTATATATATTTGTGTCTTTGTAGAGTATATATTGCTTGTTTGAATTGGGAAAAATTCAATACAGATTTATAATAATAAAAAATACTAGCCGATAGCAGTATAGTTTCCAATATATCGGTCAAAATTTTGATCGATATATCTGAGATAGATAGATAGATAGATTCTGCCCGATTATGATTATTCCCGATATTTAATATGATGGCCTATATTGTCTAAAAATCCATATTCACTGTCTGATAGAAAAGAGTGGCAACAGTTTATTGTAAAATTCAAATTTGTTGTTTGAATTTGAAAATGTAAGCTCTGAAATTACTTGCCTCTGGTATCAATACTGGTATATATCTTACATTTTCAAATTCAAACAAATTAGAATTTTACAATGAACATACATACTGTATATACATTTACAGAAATGCCCAATATGTAGTCAGTTTGCCATTGTTTCAGGATAACACGGTTTAGGTTCAGTCTACTTTGGCTTTAGTCTCGTGTGGATTTTCCAGACCCTTTGAGATGCATTCCTCTCGAACACTAACCTAAACGGTTAAATAAAATCCTCATAATGACCTGCACGACTCGCATTGGCTTGTGTGGTAGAGAGTGAGCACTTCCACCCCTTACAGTTCTCGCATGCAGCCAGAGGATAGTCAAGTGATGTTTATCCGTGAACCGGATGAGCCATCGAGCTCCGCAAATATTACTTTTGGTTCACAGGCTTTGTTGTTAATGGGCCACAGTAGTAAGCTCAAAGGTCAAGGGTCACATCGTAACCCGCCTCCGCTATCCTCGGTCTATGTCAAAGTGTGACGTAGGCCGTGGAGATAAAAGGGTGTTAGGGGTGCATGACAGAGAGAAAAGAGGAGGGGAAAGTGTTTTATGATGGCTTAATTTGGCTTAGAAAGCAGGAACATTCTTCACCGTCTTAATGCTTTTTTCTTTCTTTCATGAGCAGAAATCATAGAGCGCATTATGCTGGAATGGGTCAGGTGCTCTACTCATGTCGGGTTGGCTCCAGGCAGGCAGAAGAAATGAACCAGAGCTGTAAAACTGTACTACTTTAGGAATGCAGCAGCAAGGTTTGACTTTACTCTACATTCATAAATCGTTCAAACAGCCTGAGAAAACCAAAACAATTGTTTTAAGTAAGTCAAGCTTAATTAAACTTAGTTAAACTTTTCACTTGAATTGATATGCTGATCATTGTATTTGTAATGAAAAATAAATAAATCACCTACACATGCTATATATATACTGGTACAATATTTTTCAGTAGTGGACCACACTGTATATTTGGTTATGAAATACGACTTTAATCTTAAAAAATGAGTTCCTGTACCCTTCTTGCTTTTCCTGTCGATTGAGGAAATGTCAGAAGAGTTGAATTCATTCAGTTGGGTTGCATAAGCAGACATCACTGTAGGAGGGCATGTTTGTGGTCAGTGTGGACTTTTATTTTTAGGAGATCTCAGACAGCTGGGATCCTTTGATGGCTGGATCTGTTGGATGTTTTATGGGATCTCAATAGCCACATTCTGAATAACGCACACTTATCTTTACCTCTTTGTGTCTCCTTTCCTCATTATTATCCGAAGACTCTGTTTGACCTTGCAAAGTCCAATTATGCACTTCAGTGGGTTTCACAGTCTCTCCCATTTCTGATGTACACCAGTATAAATGGGCTCCCACTGGATCACTTTGAGCTGATACTACATCACATCCAGGCTTTTTTTTCTTTGAGGAATGTGCAGGAAGTGCTTAGGAATTATAAATGAATTCAAACAGCTGTCTGATTGAAGTCGTATTCTGAAATCAGTTCCCACTTATCAGTATCGTGGCTTCATCAGTGCTTGTTAAAATGAGGAAGAAGTTCCCCATTTGCCTTAATGACAAGCAGCACTTGAGCATGATCTCAACATGATTGTGTAAAACTTTTATCCAGCACGATCCAGCTTATGCATAAATTCTGTGTTGTTATATTGGCCATAACCCCAGACCCGAGTGTAGAGGAGTGCAGACCTCAGACTGTGTGCACTGGGCCAAAATCCAGAATCTACTAGAAGTCACATGAAAGTCTCTCACTCTTTCCTCTTCCCCACAGCGATCAACGGCGCTTTTTCCAACCCGTGTGATACACCACATCACCTCCATGATCACTCAGCTCTCCTCCTTTCCATCTGGCTGCTTAATGACACTTTCACATGCATTTTATTCTGAAATGTGATTAAAAATGAAAAGAAAGTGTCTGACGCAGAACTATGTGTGTTAAAAGTTGCCCACCCAGAATCAGCTTGGATAATTCATGTCCTTTCTGCTTTATTAGTTCCTTTAAAGCAGCACTATGTAACTTTTGGTGCTCTAGCGGTTAATAAACAGAACTGCACACATCCCACAGAAGAACATTCCAACCGGAGCTACTTCTCCGGTTTATGTCTATGGCGATTCACACAGGTATGTGTTACTCCGCAGCGGTGACGACCCGACCAGGCTACAATAGTCCAAATATAAGTACTTATTATAAGCAGTGTTGGGGTTAACGCATTACAAGTAACGCAAGTTACGTAATCAGATTACTTTTTAAGTAACTCATTACTTTTTAATTTAGAAGGAAATATCGGAGTTACTTTTTCAAGTAAGTAACTCCAGTTACTTTGTTTCCCATGTATTGACTGACAGCTCTCTTGTTGCCATGTTGAGAGAAATCGGGAGTAAATGCAGAGGTGTTGTGTGTGCTGTGTGAACATGATGTTACTGCAGTTCTAGACTAAATGTGATCATGCATTTACTCATCTCACCTGCACAAAAACAGATTCAGTGTGCCTCAAAATGAATAAAAACAGTCAAATGCAAGCTCAGAATATTATACAAACCAGCAGTAATTAAATGTTAAATAAGACAAATATCATTCATGTATTTAATCCCATTTTATTAACCAATGTCTTTGCTACTGACCTTTGATGATCCAATTCAACCATACTAATAAGCAAAAATTGCACATTTGTGTTTTATTTTTGTTATTGCTGAATAGCGTTGAACTTTCTTCTCCTGCATCATATTCTTCATGTGATTTGTTTGAGCGGCGCCCTCTACTGTACAGACGTGAGTTTACATTTCCTTCAGCCCGAGGCATATTCATTTCACTTTCGTTGTGAAAGGGCTTTTACATTTGTAAAAGGACTTTTTTATATTAAAAACAATCAGGCAAGCCCTGTCCAGATTTAAAAAGTAACTCAAAAGTAATGTAACGCATTACTTTTAAAAGTAACTTTCCCCAACGCTGATTATAAGTGTACCGTAGTGATTCGGTATAAGACAAAAAAGCGGTTTGGAAGATGAATTCATATGATGGACTCGCTCGTTATATACATTTTGCAAATTTTGAACACAGAAAAAGTTACATAGTGCTGCTTTAAAACACAAATAGGATGATGTCATAAATTTGACACCTGACCTGTGACTTCGACCCCTGCCAATAATCTGCTTGCTATGTCTCCTTATTAGTGCTGACACCTGTTTTTTTTATTTATAAATTTTTTTTATTGATGCTTGTGAAGACTTTAAATTCTGTGGACGCAGATTGTAGAAAATGTGGAAGTACGGAGTTAGTAATGCTGGTAGTTAAAAAAAACTATTGCTCATTAAAGCTCACTTTGTATTTCAAGGGACTGCTTCTTTTGCGTGTCTACTTTGTCTCCGATGTTTCTCTTAAATTGTGTTGGGCAAAATAACTTCAAGTCAACTGATAAAATACAGTGAGTTAATGGAGCTATAATATTTATGTTAAGAGCACTGCATAGGTAATTTGGATATGGAATTATCTGATGACAAATATTTACGTTCATATTGAAATATCAGACTGATTACGGTCTTCCAAAGCAAAGTTTGTGACAACTCTCAGCAATCTCTTCTGGAGTTTTAGAGAAGACATATGAAAGAGTCTCTTTGATTGCTCCAATCGTTTTGTTTTGACTGCTCTTTGTAAAAGCAGGTCTTGGTCAGTAAGATGGATGCAAAGCAAGGCAGTGAGATTCCTTCAGCTCTTGTAAGTAGGAGAAGCTTTATGCAATAACGTCATACATAGTAATTTGCTAGTGAGTAATACTTGAGTGTGTGTGCAAGAAATAATAATTTCTTCATTGTGTGTACTGTTTTGGTCTGAAAAGGGGTGGGTGTCTTCAGGATTCTGGGGAAGTTGGGCAGGCCGTAAACACAACCAGTGTTAATGAGT